TTGTTGTTGTTTGGTGCTGTCGAGTCGTAGACAACTCATAGCGACCCTATGAACAAACGGCCTAAGCACTGTTCGTACATAGAGTTTCTGGAGGCAAGCCATTTCGGAAGTGGATGCCGCTCCTGCTTCCAGGCTTGTTTTAGTTGGGAAGCTCCAGCCAACACTGTCCACCATGGGTACCCATTACCACGGTTGGCACATCACTGTCATAGTCTTCAGCATCAGAGCCAACATGGAGTCCTGAGAGAGGTGGTTAGTGTTAGAATTGGTATAAACTAGTGCAGAGGCACTGAGGGCAGGGATGGGACAGAGGACATTATACTTTAATTACTCATTGCATTCTTCATGAATGATATTCTTGATAATTTGAAAAAGAAGAGGATAACATTAATTACAACTGTATAATGCCATTATTTACAACATCTCATGGAAACCTCCCTATACACTCCCTTTCCCTTCACCCTAACCATCCATTCATCAATTTTCTCTATCCCATTCCTGCCCCCAGTGCCTCTGCACTAGTTTATACCAACCCTAACACTAACCACCTCTCTCAGGGTTCAATGTTGGCTCTGATAATCCTTGAAATGGCCACACAGGAGTCACAGAACTATACTCAATTTCACCAGGGGCTTCTCAGAATAAAAATGGGCAGTTAGTCTCCCAGTCACCAGCAGTCAGGAAATCAAAAGATTAATTGCATTGGGGAAATCTGCTGTTATGGACCTCTCCAGAGTGCTGAAAAGCAATGATGTCAGTCTAGAGACTAAGACTTGCCTAATTCAGGCCATGGTCTTCACAATTACTTGTTGTGCCTGAGAAAGCTGGACAATGACTAAGAATGACAGAAGAATTGATACCTTTGGGTTGTGATGCTGGAGAAGAGTCTTGAACATACCATAGACTGTCAAAAAACCAAAATAGGTTTGTCATGGAGATGATGAAATCAAACCTGTCTTTGAAGGCTAGGATTTTCAAGCTCTGTCTTACATATTTTGGGCACGTGGCCAGGAGAGACCAGCCCTTGGAAAAGAACATCATGCTCGGAAGGGTGGAGGGACCACTCAGGAAAGAAAGACCCTGAGTGAGATGGATTGATAGAGTAACTGCGGCAATGGGGGAGGGGCAGGAGTTGGTGTGTTGGAATTTGTGAGACTGGCTCAGGACAGGTTAAGTGCAGAGCTGCTGTAGGGTCACAATTGGTCACAGGTGACTCAATGGCACATAACAATAACAACAACAACAACAACTAATGTTATAAAAGTAAATGTATCTTAGTGATTGAAAATCAATTTTAAAGAAAAGATAAACAAAGCCCTGTCTTTTGCAAAAATAAATGAACATATAAAAAAATATTTTTTATTTTGCTAGAAGAATTTCATGAAACAACATATGAGCAAGAGCCTATGGTGATGAAGGAAGAAGCTCAAGCTGCTTTGAAGGAAATAGCAAAAAATAAAGCCCCCGGAATAGAAGGTATACCAATTGACATATTTCAGCTAACAGATGCTGCCCTGGATGTGCTCACCAAGTTGTGCCAAGAAATCTGGAGAACAATCACTTGGCCAACTGACTGGAAGAGATCTGTATTTGTTCCCATCCCAAAGAAGGGTGGCCCAACACAGTGTGGAAACTGTGAACAATCTCAATCACTTCGCCATCCATTCTGATGCTACCAATTGGTCCAGTGGTGAGAATCTTTGTCTTCTTGACATTGAGCCTCAGCCCATACTGAAGGCTGTAGTCCTTGACTCTCTGCAGCAAGTGCATGAGGTCCTCCTCAGTTTCAGCAAGCAGGGTTGTGTCATCTGCATAACGCAGATTGTTAATAGATCTTCCACCAATCCTGATGCCACAATTCTCCTCATAGAGCCCAGCCTCTCGGATGATCTGTTCTGCATACAGGTTGAAAAGGTATGGAGACAGGGAACATCCCTGGCGTACACCCTTCCCAATTTTGAACCACGCAGTGTTACCCTGCTCTGTTCTGATGATTGCCTCCTGGTCCAAGTATAGGTTTCGCATTAGCATGATTAAATGTTCTGGGATTCCCATTCTTCTCAGAGTCAGCCACAATTTGTTATGATCCATACAGTCAAACGCCTTTGCATAATCAATGAAACATAGATAGACGTTCTTCTGGTATTCCCTGCTTTCAGCTAAGATCCAGCTAACCTCAGCAACAATATCCCTAGTCCCACGACCCCTTCTAAACCCAGCCTGGACTTCTGGCAATTCTCTGTTGATGTGCTGCTCCAGTCATTTTTTTATAATCGTCAGTAGAATCTTGCTTGCATGTGAAATCAATGATATTATTCTGTAGTTTCGACACTCTGTTGGGTCACCCTTCTTTGGGATGGGAACAAATACAGATCTCTTCCAGTCAGTTGGCCGAGTGGTCATTCTCCAGATTTCTTGACACAACTTGGTGAGCACATCCAGAGCAGCATCTGTTAGCTGAAATACGTCAATTGGTATACTGTCTATTCCTGGGGCCTTATTTTTTGGTATTTCGTTCAAAGCAGCTTGAACTTCTTCCTTCATCACCATAGGCTCTTGCTCATATGTTATTTCATTAAATTCTTCTGTGTCTGCCAACTTCTTTTGATGCAGTGACTCAAATACAATGACTCATGTTCTTTTAAAACTTCCTGGATCATTTAATATTCTGCCTAAAGCATCCTTGATTATAGCAACTCCAGGTTTGATTTTGTTCTTCAGTTCCTTGAGCTTAAGAAATGCTGAACGAGTTCAGCCCTTTTGATTTTCAGACTCCAGCTCCTCGCACATTTCATTATAATATTTTGCTTTGTCATTCCAAGCTGCCTTTTGGAATCTTGTGTTCAGCTCTTTAATATCTTGAATTCTTCCTTGTGCTTTGGCTTCTCTATGCGCCAGTATAATCTTCAGAGTTTCTTCTGACATCCATTTTGGTCTTTTCTTCCTCTTCTGTCTTTGTAATGACCATTTGCACTCTTCCTGGATGATACATTTGATATCCTCCCACAACTCATCTGGTCTTCGCTCATTACCAAATGCATTACACTACATATTATTTTAGTTGCCTAGTGTTGCTATAAACCTCAACTTTACTTGCCTTCAAGTCAGAATAGAAGTATAGTTGACCCTACTTTCAGAGACTGAAAAACTGCGTGAAAGGAGACTGCTGATCTTTTTTTCATGTAGTGGCTGATGGATTTGAACAGTGTACCATTGAGTTTGCAGCAACTCCTTACCCACTAGACCAGACAGGAAGCACAGACTTTCAAGAACAGAAATTCATCAGCTTACAGTTTAAAGTAAAATTTAGGGTTCTATAGAGAGGACTCATTAGTACCATGAGGAGTTCCTTGGAGTATTTTAACATTCTCTGACTTTTATTCGTGTCTGAATTTCCCCCTGATACTTTCTCCTGAATCTTATGCCACAGAATCTTTCTGTCACTCACAAGAGACTAATTTTAAGATTTATTTTATATTGTATGAATGCATTAACACAACAAAAGAAAAGCACTATTCTAAAACAAGAATATACCCAAAGTACAGGTGTCAGACTGAAAGACAGGCTTTGGGTACACCATCCACAATACTTGTGCCCCCAAAAGTATTGATTTTCCCCAAATTTCCAGCACTGTAGAATACAGTGTAACATAAAAAAATACAGGATTATTCACCTGACTATATGTCAGGATGATAGTTTCACTTTTTTCTAAGGCTCTGCCATCCTTACAAACTCAATATAAGCATATGTACAGCAAGAGCAGAAAAGGCTGGATTGTCATTTTCTTAACTTACCATTTGTAGCCAAATGTTTGTGGTTAAAACTTGGTTCTTCTCATCCTGGGGAAAAAAAACCACGAAATAAGCAAACAAAAACATAGAGAGAGAGGAAAAAATTAAGAAAAGCATAAGTAGGATTTATACAATATTATGGATTGAATGATGACATTCCCACCCCAAAAATATGTTGTAAATCTTAACCTTTATGCCTCAGCCTCAGTGGTCATATCCTTATTTGGGCATGGTTTGTCACTGTTATGTTAGACAGGATTAACAGAGGGTGTATCTTGAGAAATGTCTTTTATGATATGAAAGAGATCAAGTATCAGACTATGGATGACAAGTGTGAGATCAAGCCACCAGGAGATCTCCTAATAGGAAACAAGCTAAAGAGACAAGATCTTCTCAAAACTGATGGAAAAATAGAGCCTTCTCAAAGAGCTCACACCCAGAATTTTAACTTCTAGCCTCCTAATCAGTGATAAAATACATTTTAGTTTGGTAAAGTCACTCATCTGTGGTGTTTCTATTATAATTCTGTTAGGTGTTGTTATGTGCAAGCAAGTCAGCAACCACGTATAGTAACACTGAATGAATAATGAGTCTGAACTTTGTCCTATCCTGCCAAATCCTTGCTAACTCTGATATGCTTATTATCATAATCACTGTGTGAATCCATGTTGTTGAGAATCTTCGTCTTTTTCTCTGATCCTCTGTCTTTCCCAGTATGATGTTTTTGCCATGGAATGGTCCCTCCTGATAACATGTCCAAAATTGGTAAGACAGTTTCACTGTTCTTGTCTCTAAGCAGCATCTTGGCTACCCTTCCTTCGAAACAGATTTGTTTATTCTTTTAGCAGCCCATAGTATATACAGTACTCCTTACCAACAACTGAAAGACATCTGTTAATCTGTTATTCTTCCTTCATCCTTAATCATTCTCTTTCACATGCATAGGAAGCAATTGAAAATATCATGGCTTGGATCAAGTGTACCTGAGTTTTTAAATGGACATCCTTGCTCTTTAGCACTTACTAGGGACACTGACAGCAGATTTCCCCAATGATTTCTTTACTGTTGTTGTTATGGATGTTGATTGTGGATCCAAGTCAAATTAAGTCATTGATAATTTCAATATTTTCTCCATCTACAATGATATTGTCTACTCTTCCGCTGGTAAGAATATTTGTTTTTCCAATGTTAAGGTGTAATCCATATTTGAAAACTATACTGTTTGATTTTTCTGAAGCAAATTCTTCAAGTCTTCACTTTCTGCAAGTAAGGTTGTGTCATTTGCATAATGCAAGTTGTTGAAGAATGTTAGAAAATCCTGCTGCCACATTCTTCTTCATATAGTCCAGCTTTCTCAAATTATTTTCTTAATTTATGAACTGAATAGGTATGAAGAAAATATACAACCCAGATGATTACCATTCCTGATTTAAAACCATGCACTATTCCTTTCTTTTTTTCAGACAACCATTTCTTTGTTAATGTATTAAGTTTCACATGGGCACAATTTTGGGATTCCCATTTTCCTCTCTATTAGAAAAAAATTATTATGATTCACACAATGTCTCTGCTTAGTCAATAAAACACAAGTAATTATCTTTCTAGTGTTGTATAGTTTTAGTCATGATCCATTTGATGTCAATTATGATATTCCTTGCTTCATGGTCTCTTCTAAATCTGGGTTGAATTTCTAGAAGTTCAGGCTGATCTGACAAAACATAAGAGTCTAGGAAGTGGTGGAATGTCAGTTAAGGTGTTTCAACAAACAGATGCAGTCATGAATGTTCTTACTAACCTATGTCAAGAATTTTAGAAAACAGTTACCTGGCCAACTGACTAGAAGAGATCTACACTTATTCCTATTTTTTTAAAAAGTTGACTTAGTAGATTGAAAAAATATATAATAATATCATTAATGTTGTTGTTGTGTACAATCATGTCAGAATCGACCTACAGCGGACCCTCCAGTGGGTAGAAGCAGCTAATTGCACAGAAGGATATTGCCCATCCTTCTCCCATGGGGAAGCAGGTGGCCTTATACTGCGTGCCTTTGGGATTGCAGTGCAGCTTCTTGCTTCTAGGCCACATAAGAATAAACTGTAGTTGAAGATTATTTAAAATGGCTGGAAAGGTATATTGACATGGAAATTCTATTATTGTAATGCAACAGAATGTAGATATTATCAAACAATACTATTAATATAATACATAAGTAAGATTTTTGTTGAATATAATTTTAAAATCCCTACAGTGTCACCAGTGAACTGTGAGAAAAACTAAGCTGTATTTAGAAGCTATGCAATGAGAAATATCATTGCAGATGTCAGTAATATCTTGGGTAAAAAAAAAGAATACCAAAAAGGGGTTTACTTATGTTTAATTGACTATCCAAAGGCATTCAACTACATGAATCATAATAAATTATGGATACCATTGAGAAGAATTAGAATTCTACACCACTTAACAGTCCTCAAGCAGAAGCAGATTTTCTAATAGAATAAGGGGATAGTGTATGGCTTAAAATCAGCAAAGATCTCTGCCGCGCGACCCCCATCTTCAGGTACTGCATTGATCCCCCCCGACCCGGCTCGCGCCCCGCCCCCAGCTCTGAACTTTGGGACTGCCCAAAGGCTGTGCACAGGCGCAGTGAACGGTGGGAGTGCACACCCCTGCATTTCTGACCCGCGAGCCCCATCTTCAGGTACTGCATTGCTCCCCCTGACCGAGCTAGCGCCCCCCCCCCAGCTCTGAAATTTGGGGCTGGCCAAGGGCTATGCCCAGGCGCAGTGAACGGTGGGATTGGACTTGAATTGGGACACACCCCTGCATTTTTGACCCGCGACCCCCATCTTCAGGTACTGCATTGCTCCCCTCTGACCCGGCTGGTCCACCCCCCCAGCTCTGAACTTTGGGACTGGCCAA